TTCTTCAGATGAATGCATCGGTATTGGTTTATTTCTCAAATAGGTTTTTTTCTAAAAAATAGCTTAGCTGATTTGTACTCTCTGTTAATAACTGTCTATCGTTTATTATTTTTAGATGCACTAATGCACTTCGTCGTCTAGAAGCAATAGGTGAAAAGTTCTAGGTTTTTTTTTTAGCTAGTTAATAATGATAAACTTAAATTAAGGAGGCTGGCTTACTTGCCGAACTGCAATTTAACAGCTCAAATAACATACTTCTAAGTTGAGAACTGTAATTCAGTTACAAAAACAAAAAAAACATTCCAACTTTGTTGAATTTTAAATTTTTTACATTTAAATAATAAATATTCTTCAATTACGTCATTAGCACATTACGAGTTTCTTTAAAAATCTGCTAATTTTTTTTTTGAAGAATTCTTAATTGAATAAGTTTTATCACACATTAAGGCAGTTTGTCGCTTGTCAGAACAATTATAAACATAGACTGATATTTGCAGCTATCTGAACAGTTCTCAGTAAAATATTTTTTGCCGTAGTGCTTTTTTTTCAACAGATTATCAGTCTTAGTATAAAAGCATATTCGCATTTTGCTTACAAAAAATTATACTATTTTTATAATCAAATTCTTTTTGTTTTTGTTTTTTTAACAACAAGATAAACTTTTTTATTAGTAGAAATGTAAGAAAAGTTTTTGTTTATTGAATGAGCAAAAGTAAACTAAACGATAAAGTTTTTCAGCATCGATGACATGTTTGATGTACCACCAATAGAGCATCGATTAACTGAAAAAGGCTACAGGTTGGTGCAAAAGATTTTGCCTGACAAACAGGAAACTTTGAAGAAAGTTACTGTTGCTTCTACAAAACGATTATCAAGTGTAACAACTGAAAAACCAAAAACGGTGATTTTTTCGACGATATCCTCTGTAAACACTGTTGCCGCAACAGAATCTTCTTCGACAACATCTAGACGTCTTGTTACCATGCCATCATTTAAAGCAACTTCAACACCACCAACAACTACAACAGTAAAAATTTCTTCTGAAACATGGAAGAAGCCGACTACCAAAATCAGTAGAACAATGAAATCATCACCTACCCAGATGACAAGTCAATCAACAGTTTCTGTAAAAAAAAACAGTAAGATTACTAAGCAACAGAAGTTGCAAAAAAATTTAAAAACTACTTATAATACTGGAAAAACTGTACCAGAAGAAATTCATGATGTTAAAGAGCAAAAATGGTCTAAGATAAAACCGGATGCTTCCAAGAAATATTTGAACCATAATGCAGTTCAACATCATTTTAGTACCACATATTCAATGTTGCCAAAAAGTTCAACTTCTTTATCAAATGTCAGTTTAATACCTTTTTTTGTTTTTGTTGTTATATTTATGTTTGTTCATAGTTGAAATGTTAAAAGCTTAGAAATAAATTAATTGTTTGAAAAAAAAAAGAGCGGAGTGAAGCAAAAAAACAGGCATTGTCTTCAACTTTTTTTTTTT